AAATTGACTAAGAATTTAAAAATAGCAAAATTAGTGATATGCCAAAAAAAAAAAAAAAAACCGAAAATTAATAAAGGAAAGGTATAGGAGCGGAAAAGGCAAACAGCTGAAGGAAGATATTTACTATTTTTGTACTCAGCACAAAGCTTGGATTCCAAATTTAAATTTCAACTAAAATTAAAAGAGTGCCGAGCAAAAACGCGGAAGGGGCATATTTGACAACTTTATTTTAAATACTTTAAATAAAGTTAGAAGGTACGCCAATAAAGAGGAAGAAGGTGTTGCCTTAATGATTTACAATCAAAGACGATACACTATTGCTAAATAGAACTTCCTACTAACTTTCACTAAGATCTCTAAACATATTGACGGATAAAGCTCAAGCGGTAGTTCAAAAATATTTATATTAGTTATATGGGGTACTTTGACTTTCTGCCGGATGACTTGGATCATGGAGTCGCCAAACCAAACTCGAGCGGCGTTTTCTCTACCCACATACCGACAAGGGAGTTGTGGGTAGGAAGAAGACGTTGAAGTAGAGGGGCTGTGAACTTCTTCACGGATAGGTCAAAGCTTGGAGGGAAAGTTGATGGAGGTCTGCTATCCAGAGCTCTTTATACGCTTCAGACTTCCTGATAAAGTAGCAGTAGATTTACTGCTCCGGAGTGCAGCCTCCTTTAGAGAAGTGACCATCCACTCATATAGCAGAGCGGAGAACTCATTTAGGACTGGTCGCAGACTGTCTAACATCGCTATTAATAGCATCGAATGCATTTGTGATAAGCCTGGTATGGGTGCCAGGCCACAGCGGAATCGCAGGAAACTGTAAAACTAATGAGCTATCAAGGCTAGATACCCTAAACCAGTTATCGGCAGTATGGGAGAGGATCGGTGCTCCCTTATCCTCTTGCTACTAATTTTAAATACCCTGAAAAAGGAAGTATGATCAACAGTGACTATCACATAGCGTTATTGGATCATTTGGAGAACGCCGAAAAACTGTCACATTTGAAGAACAAGAAAGTGCTGTTTCAGCAAGTGAAACAAGTCAATGAAAACGATGGCAAAAATCCATGAATTAGGCTTCAAGTTTCTTCTGCATACATTGTATTTTCTAGATCTGCGACCATCAGCGAATATTTCCTGTTATCAGATCTCAAAAAGAATGCTCGTTGCGAAAAATTTTTCTGTGAATGAATAGGTATCGCTAAAACTGAGACTTATTTTGAAGCAACTGAGAGATCTTACTTACAACAAGTAAGGAAGGACTAAGTTCGGGTGTCACCGAACATTTTATACTCTCGCATGATAAAGTCATAATCGAGATTTCAGACGTGGTTGTGAACCGATTTCATGTCATCAGGGCATCAAGGAAATATTATATACCGAATTTCATTGAAATCGGTCGAGTACTTCCTGAGATATGGTTTTTGGTYCATAAGTGGGCGACGCCACGCCGATTTTCAATTTAAAAAAAAAGCCTGGATGTAGCTTCCTTCTGACATTTCTTCCGTAAAATTTAGTGTTTCTGACGTTTGTTGTTAGTCGGTTAACGCACTTTTAGTGATTTTCAACATAACCTTTGTATGGGAGGTGGGCGTAGTTATTATCCGATTTCTTTCATTTTTGAACTGTATATGGAAGTGCCTGACTGAAACAACTCTGTAGAGTTTGGTTGACATAGCTATAGCAGTTTCTGAGATATGTACAAAAAACTTAGTAGGAGGCGGGGCCACCCCCACTTTTCCAAAAAAATTACGTCCAAATATGCCACTCYCTAATGCGATSCTTTGTGCCAAATTTCATTTTAATGTCTTTATTTATGGCTTAGTTATGACACTTCATACATTTTCGGTTTCCGCCATTTTGTGGGCGTGGCAGTGGGCCGATTTTGCCCATCTTCGAACTTAATCTTCTTATGGAGCCGGGAAATACGTGTACCAAGTTTCATCATGATATCTCAATTTTTACTCAAGTTACAGCTTGCACGGACGGACCGGCAAACGGACAGACGGACGGACGGACAGACAGACATCCGGATTTCAACTCTACTCGTCACCCTGATCAYTTTGGTATATATAACCCTATATCTGACTCTTTTAGTTTTAGGACTTACAAACAACCGTTATGTGAACAAAACTATAATACTCTCTTTAGCAACTTTGTTGCGAAAGTATAAAAATGGTATCGAAGAGTTAGAGAGTCGGTATAATCAGTGTATTACCCCTGAAGAGAACTGTTTTTTAACAGTCACAGGCAAGTAGAGCATTAGGATAAATCATTAGGGTGCGAATGCCAGTACTGACAGTCCTATTCTGTAAGTCAAACTCTTCACTACTTTTTTGTGTATCAAGCTTCTGCTTTAACAGGGTACTCGACGACTTCCAGCACCAACGATATTCCTCAATCCTGATTAAAATACTACAAGTTGTTGCTTTTTATTGACGTGGCAAACTAAACAATCACTTGCCATAGTGTCGACGAAGAAAATTCAATTGAGCTCCATTAGAGGTAGTATCAGCTTCACTAAAAATCGACTAAGAGTCTTTTGGAAAGCGCTGCGAATAGTCCCAGTTTATATTGGCCTCAAACGAATAAGGTCTAAGTAAATATCTGCATATTTTTTATGCTAAGAGATACTATTTTGAGTGGTTGAAGAAGGACTTAATTTATAATACACATATGTCAACATCAGCAACTAGAAGACAATTTAGACAACCCAAGCCGATCGAAGCCAAACCACAACAAATGAGGCATTACCTGTTGAAAACTGAGCGCGTTAATTAACATAATTGGTCAAAGTGATCCTAAAAAAATACAAAAATAATTCGGTAGCAGATGTATCAGTGTCTCCTACTGCTGCTGAGACATCATCAACACAGAAAATTAATCTCACTAATGAATCTTTTAATAACAAACGAAAATATCACTTTATAATTAATTCACTAATTGCTTTCAATGCGGCGTTAATTTTCCATTTATATATCTTTATTTCCGAAACCCCACAGGCTTGCCAATGCCACTGACCACTTTTAATTCCAATGCTTAATTAAATAAAGGTAATAATTTGGAAAATACATAATTACATATGTATGTTAGCGTTTAAACCGTTAATCCCGCCTGAAAATCTGTTCAACTTAATATTTACTTCACCAGTTTTTCTCTCGCCCTACCGCTCTCATTTTCCATTTGGCATTTATTGACCTTAAGCCCGGCGCTCTGGTCACGTTGCAACAAGTTAACAAGGGTTTTGCGGTATCGGGGATTTGGTAGCTGCTATGTCCTGCCGAGCAGATAATTAAAATAACGCCATTTGTGGTTTTCACATTTTTTTTTTGCATGCATGTCCTGATGATAATGATATTTAATGGAAAATACAGGGTGTTTATAGACAGAACGTGAAATTGAAAATAAGTTTTTATTTTATGATTTATGATTTACATATTTGGGTTGCAAATTTTTTAATAATTTTTTTTTTTAATTTAGTTTTCAAAATTGAAAATTTAATTCAAAAATATTTTTTTTTAATTTTAATCATAAATTTGTTAATAAATTTTTTTTTGAAACTACAAGTTACTCTATATGAAAATTAGATAATGGAAGTCGTCACGCCTACTTTTAGGTGATCTCCAATACTCGAGGAGGATGAAGTTCACGCAAGTGAGGGAAGTTCTCTGAATGCCATTTATTTGGGAATGGCCAGACAAGATTCTTTTATATATGACTCATGCAGCTCACGACTTCCGGTCTTTGACCAAGTATCCTATGGGTAACCAAAGAGCATCCGTTTGAAGGCGAGCTAAAGTAAGAATGCGAAATATCCCCTCCATAAGGTTGTGCCTAGGGTTTGGAACCCGCCAAGTAAAAAACCTTAGTAATGAAGAAGAAACAACCGACCCCTGCAAACATGTTAAGGATTATGATTCGTGGGCATGCACCTGGAATGTCCGACCCCTTAAATGGGAAGGTGCCGCTGCCCAACTCATTGATGTCCTCATTAGAGTAGTGGCTGACTTCACCGCCGGTTAAAAAATGCGGTGGTTGGGAGAGTAGGTACTTGTGGTATTTACCAAGTCTTGGCATTTACCACGTTGGACGAACGTCTAATCACAACCCGCATCAAAGCGAAGTACCACGCCCGGACAGAAGAGAAGGAGGATATGAGCTGCCTTCTGTGAGTGCTCGGAGCGCACCTATGAGAGCTGCTCCCGCCACGGTGTTAAAATCGTATTTGGCGACTTTAACGCCGGGGTGAGCTTTGGCACAACGTCGGTGAATTCAGTCTTCATGAGAAAACAACCCTAAATGGGTTGAGGCTGATCGCCGGGGCCGAAATATGGTTATCTGTAGTACTAAATTCCAGCAGAGGAAATTTCGCGAGGATACCTGGCTGTCTCCGGATCGAAACGCCAAATCGATCATGTTGTGATAGACAGAAGATATGTATGTTTTAGACGTGCGTACGCCCCGAGCTCCTAACATCAACTCGAAGCACTATCTTGTTTCAACCGAGATACACCCCCGTGTCTGTGTAGCAAAAAACGCACGTCAACAAACACAAGTAATGTTCGACGCCGAGAAGCAGCAATCACAACAGACACCGAGCGACTTTCTGCTCGACTCGCACTCATCAGCAACTCGGTATAAGACAACTGTGGGTATAGGCTCCCACGTCACTGTTGACAGTCATAACTTCGAAGTCTTAGATAATTTCATTTATCTTGGAGCCAGTATTAACACCAACAATATTGTCAGCCTCGAAGTTGAACGTAGAATAACGTATGTCAATAGGTGCCACTTAGAGCTGAGTAGGCTATTGAGTGGTAAAGTCCTCTCACGACGAACAAAAAGTATTTAAAAATATTAATTTAAAATTTTTTTTTACTAAGAAACGATTTAAATTTGAAACAGAAACTTTCAAAAAATTTGAAGCTAATATCTTAAATATTTTTTTTGAATAAAAACCGTTGTTATAAATATAACTTTTTTTTCCCACTCACCCTTCACCAGCGTCAATATGCCGAGCGGCATCACCAGCACCGCCACCATAAGATCAGTGATCGCCAGCGACATGAGAAAATAGTTGGTCACGTTCTGCAAGCGCCGCTCCAAATAGATCGCCAAACAGACGAGAATATTGCCGGCGGCAGTGGCGAAGACCAAAACCAGCGCCAGCAAACCCCAATAGTTGTCCTCGTGCGTTTCATACGGATCAAAGTTATGGTCAACGAAGTCTGTCGCCACCGTCGTGACGTCTTGCAACGAAGTGATCGTACGCAGAAGTATACCATTTGCGGAAGCCATTACAAATTCTGTGGTATTAAATGTGACATTGTTGTTGTTGCTGTCGGTGCTCCACAACACCGCAAAGCCAGACGCTTCGTACAACTCCTCGCCACTGCCGTCATCATTGAATATATTACTGTTCCACAACTGCTCGGCGCTGGCGCTGTCGAACGTCGTTGCGGGTGCGGCGGCGGACGATGTTGACGGGAGCGCCGCTGCCGCTGCCGCCGCCGCCTTAGCAGCGTCAGCTGAAGCCAAGCGTTGTATGGCCACATGCAACATGTTGTAGATGCACTTGTGTGTAAATGAATTTGTGCTTAAGAAATTAATAAGCAGTTTGTAATTGCTGTTGTTGTTGTAATTATTTGGTGCAGCATTTTATGTACCTGCTGTCAGCTGCAACCTTGAGCTCAATAAATCACTTACACTTGCACTTGCGCTATGAAATACTTAACCGGCTTACGCGTTGTTGGTATTTGTTGCATGCAACAACAGTGTTGCAACGTCTCGTGCGTCTGCGTTGTGCTTTGTGCCGTGTTTTGCAGTTTGGCGCAAATGAGTTTCCTCTCCTTGGTCGCTGGTGAGCGGATATTGCGCTGTGTAGACTCGCAGCTTCCGTGCTGTTGCAAGTGGCGCGTTGATTTTCTTGCCGCTATTTTGTTTTATTAATTATTTCTTTGTTATTGCGTTTACTTCTTATTTTTACTTTTGATTTCGCAGTGGGAAATTAATGCTTTCGTCGTGACATTTCGCCTTTGCTAGGAAATTAGCAGACGTAATTGTTGCAACATTTTTTTGAAAGGCCTTGCAAGTGTCTTATTGCAGTTGCACGAAGGTTTTTGCCCTACTCACATTAAAATTACTGAGTTTTCGATTTGATTTTATTTTTTATGCGCGATTTTTCAGACTCTACGTTCAACAGGAAGCCACAACCTGATCTGCACCTGCAAATGAAAATAATTTATTGTTATTTGAACAACATTTTATAAAAAATAATTTAAGTTGAATTTAGTTCAGACAGTGCTTTGTTGGAGCTTTCTCGAAATTGAAAACTGTCAAAGGCCGTGCAGGCCTTTATAATGGTATACGGAAGCCAGAAGAAGTAGTTTTCAAATTTTACACATTTTTGATACTGTGCAGTTTTAATTATGTATCTCTCTGATTAACCGATATTTACGTTAGAAATCTGCCATAAACACTGAGGCCTCCATATTCGAAAACTAGACGTTTGAAAACTTATATTCAGATCACGATAAATATTAGACCTGCCCCGCCCATAGCATAAGGCCACTATTTACACAACATTTTATTTCGATAACGTCGTAATTTTTCCAATAGCCTCTTTTTTGGTAGAACGCCTGAGAGCCGTGTCAAGCTGTCATGTTATTTTTGTTCAGTATTGTTTGGCATTTCATTATGGAAAGACTTATGCCTGAATAACGTTTGTAAGTCGTTCAACTTTATTATGAAAATTCACGTCCTGAAATGAATGCGTTTCGCGCGCTTTACTCAACTTAGGATCAACATACTCAGTCTACTGAACGTACTGTTCGCAACACTATCAACAATCTTGAGACCCAGCATTATTAGATAATATTCGACCGACTAGATGACGGCCAGCCGTAGCTGAGGGTGTACACGAAGACCGTGAAGAGTCGATTCAGTGCCGCGCGCTACAATTTGTACTCACGTATGGAACGACTTGACGCAATTTAGAGATCTCAAGTTAAAATCCCAAGTGGCATCGCTTTGCTCTATAGGTTCTTTAAAAGTTCTAAAAAGATCCGATACTTTCGAGTTAAATATTTTATTGCGATAAGGACCTTTTCTGGCTCAATGGGTATGTAAAGAGGCAAAATTACATTACAAAAAAAAATAATTAATTGGGATGAAGAGTAACCTGAAGAGATTCAAAGCTGTCATTTCAGCAAAGTTTGTTCTGAGCCGGTGGATTCATCGCCTCTTATTTCTTCAAAATTATGCCATATAATCACGCCATGATAACCGACTATTTGATGACTGAAATTGAAGCTCGCGATCTCGTCGACATTCGGTTTCACATATCGCATCAATCAATGGATTTATTAAGAAAACACTTCGGTGAGCTGAGAATTTCACGATTTGGACTGCTCGATTGGCATCCCAGACATCACACCGTTAGAAATTTTCCTGTAGAGATAGGTTAACTTTAAAGTCTGTGCGAACAATGCCGCTTCAATTCAGGCTTGGGATCAAAACATCACGCGTGTCGTTCACCAATTAACAGTCTAAATACTCGAACGAGTCAGTAAATATTGGACTCAACGGATGGACTGTTTGAGACGTAGCCGCGACCAACATTTGAAAGAGGTAGTCTTCAAAACAAAAATCCAAGGAATGTTGCTACGACTGATAATAAATATTACTTCTAAATTTGAGGTATCTGTGTTTTTTCTTCAAAAAAGTAAGGAACCTCGAAATGGATCACACTTCACTAGGGCGTTACGCCCCGCCTACATCACTTATGCTCCACTATAATCTTGCCTTTTATGGCTCGGCTAATTCCGCGTCGGTTGGGCAGAATGGTAATCGTTGGGTATTATTATTATGTAGCTCCTTGTATTTCGGAAATCGGCAATGCACGATTTGTGAACATTTTCGGGCGATTATTTTGTACAATTTTCGTCTTCGCGAATCGAACACGGATCACACTAGCTCTAGCATGGACTCAAACAACTACAGTTTTGAGCTCTCAGAATATCGATCTGATAAGTTGTCCATCGTATAGTGCTGGCTTGGCACTGAATAATTGCTTTTTGTTCCTTCACGCAAAAAATAAACTGAGAAGTCAATGTTTTTCGACACGTGAAGAGGAAGAGGCGGTTGATGAGTCCAGAAGGCCTCTTTTGAAATACCTTACTCTGAGTGGCCGAAGTGCTTGGACAATTGGTTCAAACGTATGCAAAAGTGTATAGATCTTAATGGCGAATATTTGTAATATTTTAAGTCTGGAGATCAAGCACAGAATAACTACTACTACTTKGTGATCGGTAAGTAATTGAAAAGCAGAACTCTCTCTCACCAAAAATATATTATGCTCCCTAAATTGCCTCAATATTTCTGTCCTACTAAGTATTTGGTACAGAAACATAGACATTAACATTCGAAAGAACTGTTAATCGAATGGAAGCAAGAGCACTCATGCATCCAATGGAAAGACCAAATATATGGCGATCTGTTAGCACTTAGGACGTACTATTACCGTTATCTCGCAAAGAATAGTGGCAACTGACGAAGTTTCCGCTTCTCGTCACAGACCGACCCACAGTTGTAGTGCCAAGAAGTAGAAGAATATTTGTTTAGGTTTTCTAGTCCCAAAATATAAAAGGCAACCCTCTTACCAACTTTCTCATGGTACCAAAGAACACGTGTATCAAAGTTCCTCAAGTTATATTAATATTTACTCAATTAAAAAATTGGGGTCGTAGTTACTTTCAAGCATTGCTATATGAGTATATTCCATTATAGAAGTATCTTGAATAACTTTTCATAAAGTATTTGAAAGCTACAGATTAAAAGCAATTTATCGATAGTTGCGGCTTTCGTTTTATGTTTTAGGGTGATTTTTCATTATAAGAAAATACTATGATTCCTGTGAGCTCTATCGCCAAGATCAGCCTCAATGCCTAATATAATCTACCGAAGTTCAGACGGTTTGAAAAGTGTAAAAACTGTAAAGAAATAATTTTAACAATTTCTCTCTTTTTAGTTTCTAATTATTGTCGCCTTTTCTTTTCTTTGAACTACGCACCATGAAACGCCATTCAGACGGAGTTAGGAGAATAATACACACACCAACGAACTTGCTCAACAATACTGAGCAGCAGAAACACTGAACCCTTCACCTTTATCTTCACCTTCTACTACCACAATCGAAATTATGATCTCAACGTCCTTTTCCGTTCGCGTGAATAACGCTTTGTCCTAGACGCTCTACCAAACACCTGTCCAAGCTTTAAGCATGCCATTAATATTGTAAACATATTTACTATAAATATGTTAGTCATACCTAAGTATATGTACATTTTATATTTATAATGCGCCAGCTAGCTGGCAAAGTTTCTAACACCAATTTGTCAAAACTTATGTAATACCAGCGCTGCCAGCTGCACCACTACAGCAACTGCACTGAGTCAACCGCTCGCTGTTGCAGGTCGACAACAACGACCTGAGCGACTTGTTCACATGTCCCAGTGACCATTTATCAAAAACCATGAGCCATTGCAGAACGTACGACGGACGATTATGGCAACAAAAGGAGAAATGGAGAAGCGTCGAAGAGGAAGCGGCTGGGAACAAGTGAGATAAACAAACTTGCAAGTGGCGCTATGACATGTTAGCATCATGAAAACAGGAGCAGCAGCAACAACAGCCAAGTTACCGTTTTCTACGCCAACTCTCGACAACTGGGGGTTAGCGCTAACGATACTCATATCAACTTTGGTGCAAATTCGAAAGCGTTTACCGAATTATCCAAATGACTAAATGACATCACGGACAAGTGGCGCCTCAAAACGTTTGACCAAAAACTAGTCGGTTGAACGAACAAACGCACGGTCGCACGCAGACTGCCATAAATAAGAAATTGCACATTAAACCGTTTACATACTTGTATACGACATAATGACTCTGCTGGGAGTAATATGACTAATGATATTCCACTTTAGCTTCATTTGCTATGTGCCATTGCTGGACGTTGCTCATTCGATTTGGCTTTTTCGGTTTTGCACTTTGCAGCAGTCACTGAGCTTTAACTGGATTTGCTGTTTATTTCGGTGGAAAAATGTCTTTTCTGAGTAAGCTACATGCCACACGAGTGCCTGTGTGTCGAGCAGCGGCAAGCAAAGATGGCAGCCATTGTGGGTTGAGGAATAGAGATAAGCCAAAACTATATTCAGCTTTAGAACTGCATATACACCCATCGATTCATATATAAGTGTTGTGTGTATGTACATTTCCATTTGGTTGAAGATGAAGCAGGCAATTATACACCTGGCTGACCAATTATGAGGTGACTATGAGTTAATGAAAAAGCAAATGGAGCAGGTAGCAATGAGGATTTGTATGCGAGATATGACGAAATCTTCTTCAATCGTTTCTAGTACAAATTAAACGCCATTTGTTGTTATGAGGGTGGGTATAAGGAGGAATGTACAGCATAGATAAATGATAAAATATATGTGGCCTCTTGGGAATTGCTACACTACATACCTAATAACAAGTCTAATGAGCGTAAGATTTCC